ACGTGAGACAGACGTATTTGTGAGTTTCAGCTCCTAGCCTCTTTCTGCTAGCTCCAAAGGAGTGAGGAGGGAACTTTCCTGCAGGAAAACTCATAGTGCCTCGAGACATGTGTACTGAACAGATCTGATAGGACTCCTCTGTTTCAGGAACCACAGAGTTGACCTCCATCTACTGGCTAGGCTTCCCTTGACATCCCCACCTTCCTTTGACCTCTATAGAGAAAGGCCTTCATTGCTTTGGCCTGGCTGAGCAGCGGTTACACATATGACCTACCCCTTCTCAGTGATGGCTGTATTTTAGCAAGTAGGCAAGCAGACTTCACTTGGCAAAAGAGATCCTTTAGGCTAAGAAGAAACTATGCAAGCAAAAAGGAGCCCGTTATAAGCAGGCAGCATTCTTGGTGACCTCATCTTCCTCCCAGCTCGGGTCCAGTTGGAGCTGTGCATACAGGGCAGACTTCCAGTTCCTCCTGTCTGGGACTCACAGTGGCAGATATAAATAGACCAAGACTTTGTCTGTAGCCATTGTTCCCTAAATGCCCATTGTTTCTGGATGCAAAGTGGCTGCAGCTCCCTCCCTCCCTCTCTCCATCTCTCTCTGTCCCTCTTTCTCTTTCTCTCTTGTTCCCTCCCTCCCTCCTCTCCTCTCTCCCTGCCTCCCTCCCACCCCCCTCCCTCTCTGGGTCTCTCTCTCTTTCTCTCCTTGTGTAGAGATCTGAATCCCAGCTCTCATTCCCTCAGCTGCCTTTGCACTTGCCTGGGCCTTAGTGACAAACTGGGAGAACTGGCTTCCTGGGCAGAGCATCTGAAAATTGTAGCCTCAGGTTCTGACTCCAGTGAAGGTTTTGTCCAAGTGTTTCCATGATATATCTGTGCTGAAAGTGAGGATATGGGGATCCAGCGGTGGTAAAATCAGGAGGATTTGTAACTGGTTGAGCAGCTGTACCCAAAGGGTCTGGTTGAATGCACCTGTGTCAGAATGATGCATGGTCTCTGGTGTTATGGGGCTCAGGACTTGGTCATTGCCTTTTCAACATTTTTATCGGGGGGTCAGATTGGAGAAGGACACAGAAAGCATACTTACTGAATTGCACATGGCACAGAGCTCATAGAATGAGGACAGATTCGTGATATAAAAATGATCTCCGCACGTGGAAGCATGGATCCAAACAAACGAGGTCAAGTTCCATAAGGATAAACGTGAAGCCTGACACTAAGGTTAATAAGATTCAGTCAACGGGTGCAGAACTGGCTGAACTTCAGTCCCTGTGGAAGAGTAGGCCTGGGAGTGCACTCTGAGTGGCCTCTGTCGTGTGGCTGTTGGAAAACCCCGTGGCCGGCTGGGCCCACAGAGGTGGACCGTGTAGGGTGATTGTGTCCTTTTCTCTTAAGAAGTATGATGTTGGCCTGGCTCAGGATGCTCTGTAGGAACACGGGCTCACAGGAATGCTTCTGGGTAGCAGGGGGCAGATGGGCACGAACCATACCGTCCTGAATGGTTGAAGGAACCACCAAGGAATTTGAAAGCCTGGATAGAGGCGGTGACGGCGGGATGTTAAAGCCGTTGGTAAGCCGATAGATGAAGAAAGGTTAAACCTGTATGCGTGGCTTCAGCCTCCAGCACGAGGGACAAAGGCTAGAACTCATTAGAAGGCAGATGTGAGCTCAGTGTGTGTGATCACTAAGAAATCGTTCTTGCGGTCCGGGAGGGAACCTGAGTGGTCCTCACAAAGGACCAAGCGACTGCATGTCTTAGGAAGTCAGGTGTTGTCCTAAAAGACCGCCGTGGGCCCTTCTGGGAAGCCTGGTGATTGGGTCTCCGGTCCAGCCCTACCTCTGATTGCCATTGCTCCCTACCACACAGTCCCTTGTCCACCTGGGGAGCCTGGGCAGGCTACGTAGGTAGAGCATATAGCTTTACTGGCTGTGGTTGGCATGTTGAGAGGCTTTGTCCCTGTACTCGGCAAACGGGCTTACGTATTCTTATTTTTCACTGCGGTTTCCCTGGGTTGAAGGCAGACAGTTGCACTGTGTGAATGTGTGTGCGTACGCGTTTTCCTTCTGTGTCCAGATTTATTTATTAAAAGAAAAACACATCTGCATAAAAAAGCCTTAGAACACAGGAAGAATGTCCACTTTGTTTTTCTTTCTGTAGCACCAAGACATGTGGGGTTTCAGCTTCCTCTGAGGGGTTTTTGAAGACCGGCTTTCATCTCAGACAAGGCTTTTTCCCATTGGAAAAAAACGGTCCTTTTTTGGTTTAAAAATGTATTTATATAATGTATAAATAAATAAGAAAGTCGAGGGAGAGTTTCCTTTCAAAATTGATGGAAAAATGCTGCTTTCTGAACATCATTAATTGGAAGTTGCTGGATCTTCCCAGCCCACTTCTCCTCTGCTCTCTGGCCTTTATGCGGGTTTAAGATTTCCCAGTATTTGCTTCCTCTGCGTTCTCCTCTCGCGTCTCTTTTCCGTCTCTGCCCTCGTGCCTTCTGTCTTCCCTGCCAGCTCTCCCCCTCCTCCTCCTCTCCCAGCTCCTCTCTGTCTGCTCCCCCTGTGCACCCTGCCCCCCACCCCTTGCCCCTCTTCCTTGTAGCCTTTGCCGGGCTAGCCTTCAGCCACTGGAGCCCTCGCTGCAAGAGGCCTGTCTCTGTGTTTGTTTCCTGCGTGGGAGGGAGAGGCAGGCCTTGAGAAAACAGTTCAAAAGTGCAGAAAAACTTTACCTCTTCCAGCCTAAATAAACGGGCTCTACTCCATTTGTTTGCCCAGATTTTTCCTTTGCCCGTGGAGAAAACTCCTCATCCTCCACCTTGATCAGCCTGGCCTGCCTGGTGATCCTCATGAGCCCCCGCCATGCCTGTCTTGCCCCCAGACCCAAGCGTCAAGTGGGCCCCGAGCCAGGGGATTCTGGGTAGGTCGTGCGGTAGAGCCCCTAACAGCTCTGGTGACGTGACTGCTCTCTGCAGAGGGTCTCAGGGATTGAGGTGCTTTCCTTCTCCAGGAAGAATTTTCTCTCTAATAAAAATGATGGGGGTAATAGAAAGACATGTCCTTGTGCTCAGCATTTCTCTCTGCCCGGCTTTAACCTCTGCTGATAGGTCTGGGTAGAAAAAACACCTGGTTTTAGTGTCCGAGGATCTGGGTGCAAGTGCTGGTTAGACCACGAGACCGGCTTGACTGTCTCAGCTAAGTCACTCAGGGTGGTGGAGATGAGAGTGCACACTTCGTTGTTTGCAGGGTCATAATGGAGTATGGGAGCAAACGTTCTGCAACAGGGGAAATTCTGTTCCGATAACCGTGCTGGAAATTAAGAGGCGGTGCACTGGGGGGGGGGGGGGGGAGGGGGGGCAATTGAAGTGAAATAAATTGGTCAGCCCAGTTAACCAGCATCTCCGGGATCTCAGGCTGTGAGGCATCGAAGACCGATACGTAAACTAGGAGTGGTGGAAGCAAGATGTAGGATGTCACATATTTCCCTGGGTCATCTTGGGTGGGATTATCTTCTGCCACATGGGTACCAAGAGCCAATGGTCCTGTCATGGGGATTTCAGTTGAAGGCAGGACAGGAGTTTGCCCTCACAGAAGTATGAGACGGGAGAATCTCCTGTAGGATCTCCTGTAACTGTCTGCAAAGCCTTGGGGTAGAAAGGGGCCGGTTCATGCTTTCGTCCTGAATAATGTGGAAACACAGCTGTGTGTTTTTCTCCTTGGTGTTCATGACAAAGAAGTTGCACAGTTTGGGGATGTTCAGGACTTGTAAAATGTGTGATATGGTGGGAATCAAGTGTGATCCTGCCCACAGGAAATGATATGAAACACGTGACGCACTCTGTAAGTGGCTTTACATGATCATTTAAGAACTTTTAGTTTTTCTTGAAAATACTCTACGGAGCCGGGCCTTTTATGCAGGCATCCTAATCTCAGTAGTTAAATCGCGAGAGAGTCCGTCCATTTCAGGGCATGTGATTGGGGTCAGGTGCAGCTTGGGTTTGGGCAAGCTGCAAACCTACAGAAGAGAGTTTTGAGCGCAGAATTACCATTTTGTGTTGTGGCACATTGGCTCTAAAGTGGCACTCTTAGGAAGTGCTGAACACCAAAAGGCATCTTTGGTGCATCGGATCCTGTACTTGTGAGGTCTTCTGCCAGGACACATTTGAGAGGCTGTTGCTGCAAGAAAGATTCTCTCGTTTGCAGATTTCCCGCTTAGTCTGGTAAAACAAAGAGCCAGATTCAGGAGATGTCAATTTCCAGTGACCTCTCAGAATCAATCAGATTGTTTTGCAATAAGTTTTTCATTTTCTCTGTTGCTTCCTTGTACCTGGCGAAATGGCCAGAGGCCTTCTTGCTGTCTCTTGAACATCAGGAAATAAAATTGTGTACATTTTTTGTTTGTTTTTGTTTTTAGTCTTGGTATTTTACAAGACACTTTTTAGTTCAGGTCACCAAGAATTTACTGAGCACCTACTGTGTAGTAGGCTCTGGCATTTTCACACACGTTTAATTTAATTTAATCTCATCCTCACTGCAAGGAGGGGAGAGAATCCTGGGTAACGAAAGAATGCTCTGTCTCAGTGGTCTTGGAGGCCCTGTCTCTGGCACCTTCACTTGGCCAGGGCTGCTAGAAACAAACAAACAAACAAACAAACAACATGTGATTTAGGAGTCCTTCCACTTGTTCTGATATTTCCTCTTTCAGGCCATTTGCCCAACGTTTAGGGTAGGAGAGTTGAACTATTCTAAGGAAAGAGCAAGAAAATTTAGCTGTAGGGCCCAGGGGGCAGTTCTGTTTTCTGGCTCAGATTCTGGAACGGAAGAGCCTCTCTGGGTTTCCCTGAACACCTGGAATTAATTTGGGTTTTGCTCTGACTTCGAAACATTTGCTGAGGTGGAGGATGGTGGAGGGGGTAGGAAAGAAATAAATCCAGTGATTAAAAATAGCTTTGCATGTCAGGTGCCTGAACGGATTTGGGAACATGCCTGCAATCCCTTTTGTCTGGCAGGTCTGAACCCCGGCGCTGCCGAATTACAACTGCTTTCATTTGTTTTTCCTGCTCCCCTACCATGTAATGGTCAAGGGCTCATTGGAACCATGTGTGAGCCTGGTGAGTCACCAAATCCTCAGGACTTCGGCGGTAATAATGTGTTAAAACTCCTTTTGGGGGATGGGGCAAGGGTGGATGAAGGGAAGAAGGGAGCGGACTGAAGTCACTTCCTACAGATGTTCGATGTTCGGGAGTCCTCTCTGCAGGCTTCTTTTCCCAGGCCCGGCTGCAGGACCCGGGGCCGCTGTCCCAGTGCACTTGGGAGCGTGCTGTGCCTCGCCGAGGACCATCTCTTTTGTCCCGAGGCGGCTTCCCCCTGGGAAGGGGCGCCTACCTCTGCGCTGGCATGTCGTACCCGAGAGGTGTGCACTCCCCAGTGGCGGTGCACCTTGGCAGTGAAGCCGAGATGCTGTCACTGGAGACTGGCTTGCAATTTTGGTCACTCACGTCATTGGAGGGTGGATTGGGGATTTTCTGTACAACTTCTCCCTCCACCACCCCCCCCCCCCACCGCCTTTGGGATGGTTTTTTATTAGCCGGTGACTCTTAGGAGATTGGATATGTAAAGAGAAGGGCGGAAGCTGTGAGAAGTCTGTTTCAGAGCTCATGGTGTCCCATTACTTGGGGGCAGTGATGGACCGTTTGGTAGGGATGGATGGCTCCACAAGGGCACCACGCCATATGTGCTTGCTGGAGCAGAGTCCTGCTTGCCCCTCACTGCCGTCACATCATTAGGTTTATGACAACGGAGCTGAGGGGCTGAGGAAGGACATTGATTTCCCTTCATTGCACTAACCACAGCCGGAAGCTTTGTGGATTATACGATCTAGGGCCTGCTACAGGCTTTAGACTCAGGAGTGTGGGAGAAAGAGGATCCTTCCAGGTCTCTTCATGCCCAGTTCCAATCCACCCTTCCGCAAATGAGAGAGAGGGCTGTGGAATGGGTTTTGAGATTCCCTTTCACATTTTTCAGAGATCCCAGTATCTTCGCTGGGGGAAGTCCTCTTAGAGACCAGGGACAACTTTCCAGGAACAAGCTGCTCTGGAGTCAGTTATCAGTTGCTGGCCACAGCCAGTTTTTTCTATTTCTATTGATCTAAAAGAGCAAAGATGCCTTCCGTCCCACACTGGGACTTTCTAGGCGGCTTGGCACTCCCTTTTGGATGCTTCCCAGGAGCTCCAGCCTTTTCTTGCACACTCCAAAGTCACAGTTAGAAGTTCATGCGGACATTAACCATCAGGAACAATGATCCCTGCAGTCTCTTCTGGTAGGACACGGGAGTCAAAGGCACTGGCTTACCATCCCGATTTGAGTTCCTCTCTCTGATCCAACTTCCTCACGTTCCAGATCATGGTAGTGCAGCTTGAAAACAAGTTCTGTGGTTCAGATGGGCCAGTAAATAAAATGTAAGCACTGTGGACAGTAATCTTTATCATATTTTTCCAGGAGTTTATCTGTCTCACGTAAGCTTTCACATTATGGTCCTCCTTTACCTAGAGAATGTCTTCGTGACAATAAAATATCTGTGGGTGAGAGGACGTGTGGCCTGGGATGAGCTTTACATTTCTTCAGTGTGTGAGGAAGGAGGTGAAATAGAATGGGTAGTGTTTTGATAGCTTTTGAATGGGATTTCATTGTACTAGTCTCTCTACTTTGGTGTATGTTTGAAAAGTGCCATAAGGAAAATTCAAAATGCTATGAGGGATGTTAGAGCTATCAACAGCCGTCTTTGTAGCAATGCCCCGATTAAGTGACTTATCCAGGGTGATTATGTTAGTGGCAAAACTGGGATAAGAACCCAGGGATTTTGAGCAACAGGCTGGGTCAAGCCCCCTGCACAGCCCCCACGCCATCTTTCCCCCTTGTCTTTGGGGCTCTCTTTCCATTTGGGACTGTCGTTCTCATTTCCTCCCCCTATGAACCGGAAGATTTCTTCTTGATTTCCTTCACTTTAAGAAACGTATTTCAGTAAGACCTTATGTAACTAATGCACCTTATATGATGTGCATGATCACACATCAGGGTGACTCAGGGGTGAACACAGACAGGGAAGGAAGCCAGGTTGTCATTTAACTTGGGTACTTTGTATGGAAGGAAGGAAGTGTACCTACCCGTATTCTCTCGAACAAGGACAAGACTACGGTTGATTCTGTAAATGGCTTTTAATTATGTCTTTATGGGGCTAGTGCTTAGGTCTGTAATTATTTCCTCGAATGTATCTAATTGTCAAGCTAAGAAATAAACTTTAAGTTTATAATTATTTCCTCAAATGTGTCTAATTTTCAAACTAGGTAATAAAAGTCCAAAAAAAAAAAAAAAAGAAAGAAAGAAAGAAAGAAAGAAAGAAAGAAAGAAATGCAAGTCCCATTTTCTCTCTCTGAGCTGTCAGACTTTTAGTTTTCTTGGATCTCTGATCTGTTCCTGTTTGCTGCAGCAGTGGAGTAGAGTAGAAAGAGCTTGGATTGAAGAGTTCAAAGAATGGCTCTGTGGGGCACTTGGGTGGCTCAGTGGGTTAAGCGTCCAACTTCGGCTCGTCATGATCTCACGGTTCGTGGGTTTGAGCCCCACGTTGGACTCTGGGCTGACAGCTCAGAGCCTGGAGCCTGCTTCGGATGCTGTGTCTCCCTCTCTCTCTGCCCCTCCCCTGCTCCATTCTGTCTCTCTCTCAAAAATAAACATAAACATTAAAAAAAAGGCTCGCGGTGTGATTTCACGCCAGTCTCTTGCTCCCTTGGAGCTCTGTTTCCTCATCTGTAAAATGGGTATCCTGTAATATCTTTACAGGAGCCTCAGAAGTTTCCCGGGTGATATTGTGAAATAGTGTTCATGGAAGATCTTTGTGGACCAAAAAAAAAAGATCTTACAGCTTTTGGCTGTAAGGCATGTTATTCATTCTTGGTGTTTCTTTCAGGCTGCCCTTCCTTGGGACAGCACTCACCACACACAGCTAATTATCATGGTAACCTGCTGGGGTTTGGCCAGTCTGATGGTTGTGCGAGACCGTGCGAGACTGGAATAATGCACCTGGTGTTTCTAGCGCTTGGCTTTGTCTTTCATCACCTACCCCTTCCTTTCCCGATGCTCCCCTTTCCTTCTGTAGTTTGAGAATGGTGAGGGGAGAAACATCTCAGGTCAGTAAGGCCATGGCCTGACTTTTCCCAGAACACACATCACTTCAGGCTTAGATTCTATGTAACATGGTTGATACGAGCCATTTGGTTTCAAACGACTTAAAGGGATGGTGTGAAAAGTCACATGAAAACGTCTTGCATGGGTTCTTGGACATCGAACAGCCCTAAACTTTGAGTTGCATATGAGTGAATCGAAACCCTTGTTCTGCGTTTGACTTAAACCATCCATGGGGTGTGTATAAGCTGTTGTTCACGGGTCAGGCCGCAGTGAAAAATGAGCAGATGTTTCCATAAGTTCAGAAGGCCCCTGGTTCGTTATGCCCTTACTGATTCAAGTAGTGCTACGTGCTCATTTCCGCCTCGATACTGTACAATCTTGGTAAGATGGAGTTTGGGACTATTCCTTATTCCCTAGCTTCTGTACAACTCTTTTCTCCAAAACTCGCGGTGATTTTTATAAATATTAACCCACATGTAGGGTCCTGAAGGATAATCACTGGGTTAGAAACCTGATACGCTCATAATGTTTTCACTTTCTAATGCATCCTGTTTAGTCTTCACTGTATTGGCATAATATATCTTCAGGTCAGGTTCTCAGCATTTGGAGACAAACGTGTTATTTAAATTCAAGATACTGCCAATACAAATATTAACATGAAGGCCATTTTAGTACCTGTCCATGAAATATAATTAGTTAATTTCTCTCGGTGGGGGGGGGGCATTGATTAATTTCTAGATGCCATTCCTAAAATTAGAAATATTTGGTACCTAGTGCAAAAATGTTATAATGGGTAATGAGACCAAATGTGGCAGGAATGACAGGGATGCCTGCTTGGGCTACAGCAGGTTGGCTTCTCCACCCGTGTAATGATGTCATTATTATTGTTGATCAGTGTAATTAATAGAACTGCTGCAGCCACGGATTAGCAATGGGTGGGGGGGAGATTTTGCGTTCGTATTTTATACAAAAAGAGTTTAATATTTGAGATTAATGTCTGCTTGGGAATGTTCATCGCCTTTTAAACACAGCGCCCATCCTGCTAATAAAGATGGGCCTGGCTGATTGTTCACTCGCTTGCAGAGGAGGTTTGAATTTTTTGAAACCAGCATTCCACCCGTTTTAACAAGGGAGAATAGCTCTGACTTTTCTGTCTGAATCCTTTGGGTCCAGGAGCAATGACATGCCTTCTGCTGAGCTCATCGAGTGCAAGTGCAGGTGTCCCAAGTTTGTGGGGTTGGCCTTTGCCAGCCAGCTGGGCTGTGAGCCCTTTTCCAAAGGATCCAGCACTTTGTGTCCTGGGCCAGGGACAAAGCTGATGGGTGCTGTACAGCTGCAGCTGACAGCGTGTGGACCAGGCTTTTGGAGATGGCATTGAGGTAGACAGGTGAAAGTAATTCCAGCTGCTTCTCTTGGAGAGAGCAAGCGAGAGCCTGAAAAGGCTGGTTCCCTAACAGGAAGCAGGAACGCGCATGGAGAGTTGTCAGCCCAGCAGTCCTGTCCAGGCCATACTTCCAGAGTGTGTGGAGTTATAGGAAGCAGACTCCAGGAAACCTCTTTCTCAGGCTTTCTGCTGTCATCCTTGGCCTTCACATCACCTTGGCATCTTCTGTTTAGAAAATGCCTGGGGCCTCCTAGCCAATCTCCTCCTTCACTTCCAGCTTGCAGCAGAATCACTTTGTCCGTTTGGCCTGGCCTGCATTTTCCAGATGGGTTGTCCCGGCCAATATCCGCCATCAGTAAAGTTCTTTTCATCGAATCATAAATCAGTGGAGGGAACAAACACACAAAACAAAACCCACGCCGTTCGACTTCGTGGGTTTGTGTTGGACGGGCGTGAAGGGAAGGAAGGTTGATTCAAATTGGGACAACACTGAATTCACTGACCATTTGTTGATTGACTCACATGTTCTGCGTGCTGGGAGGTAAGGATGCTACAGTTGGTCGTCCCTTTCAAAAATAATGCTCTGGGGTTAAAGAAAAAGTTACTTTCTCTGAGGTAAAGCTGACTTCGACTCTAAGTGGAGACACTTCTGGACCTCGCACTTAGCTGTTCTTGGGTGTGTGGAGTAGGCACAAAGGGGCGGCATTGATGTCTTTCTTGGTGACTCATGTGATTACTCCATTGTTTGAAGGGCTGGATGTTATGTAATCAACATTTGATCCGCTCCCCCCCCCCCCCATTTTTCCCTCTTAACAATCTGGGATTTTCCATCATTTTGTCAACCTTCCTGGAGGCATGTTGGTTTTTCCACTAGATTACTAGATGTTTGGGGGCATTGTCCCAGGGCAGCCCAGACTGTCCACTCCCTAGACCTTCAGATTCACCCTCCGTGGCAGGGCCTGGGGAGCGGCTGCAGTGAACCCTTCTGTCCTTTCAGGGCAAAGCTGGACCCCAAGCTGGTTCCTGACAGCAACCCCCAAAGCAAACCAGAGGGCAAGCGCTGGCTCTCCTTTCTTATAATGTAGTTTCCATTCATTTTGATATTCAGAGGCAATATGTTTGCCCCTTTTTGCAGAGGTCATCTATTGCCATCTTTTCCCTTCTGTGTTTCCCTTTTATTCAGCCAATAACACATTCTACGTGTCCAGGGAAGTTTTTTAAGTGGCCAGGGTTTAGAGATGGCTAGTCGAGGAACTTCTGCAGTAGCTGTGCCTGGAACTCAGCCATTGAATAAGTCAGTTTCGTATGATACACTCCAGATTCAGGGTGAGGAAGAGGGCTTCTGGAAATTACTGCAATAAAGTGTAATCACTGCCTAAAGATCACGGACGGGATGGCTGGTAGGAATTCTCAGGTCATTTCTTTGCTGGTTGGCTTTTATATAGGAACTTGTGCCTGCGTTGAATGCAGAGAATTTTTACCTTGAGCCATATTTGTGGATGTTTGCTTTGAACCTGTTCTCCAAGTACTAGAGGGATTGGACATAGAGATAAAAATACAGATGGATGTAGCCAAAGACGACATGTTTGCAACTGTACAGATTTTGATACCTTACTCTTCCTCACCACGTACAGAAATCAGGTTTTATAGATAGTACCTCCCATACGCACTTCAACTTTGTCCACCTACTTTATCTGTAACACCGTCTCCCTACTCAAAGCCACCATAATCTTTCACTGCAACTAATGCAATAACTTTTTACCAAATTTTCCCACCTCTGTTCATAGTCACTGCCTCAGCCATTCTTTACAGAACAGCTAAGGTGATCTCTCTCTCTCTCTCTTTTTTTTTTTCTCCTTTTTTTTTTTTTTTTATTATGGTAAAATACACCTAACGTAAAATTCACCATCTTAACCATTTTTCAGTGTACAGGTCAGTGGTGTTACAGACATTCGCAATGTTGTACAGCCATTGCCAGCATCCACCTCCGGAACTCTTTCCATCTTGTGAAACTGAAACTCTGCCCCCGTTAAACTCCCCCGATCCCTTTCTCCTTCCAGGCTGTGGCAGCTACCTTTCTGCTTCCTGTCTCTGTGAATTTGATTACTCTGAGTACCTCATATAATTTGTCTTTCTGTGATTGGCTTATCTCAGCCTAATGTGTGGGTTCGTCCCGCGGAATAAGACCACATTGCGTGTATACACTAAATTTTGCGTATCCATTCATCTCTTGATGGCCACTTGGCTTTGCCTCCACATTTTAGCTATTGTGAATAATGCTGCTGTGAACAGAAGGATACGAATCTCTCTTTAAGACCCTGTCTCGACTCTTTCGGGTCTGTAGAGAACTCCTAAAACTCAACAACAACAACAAAAACCTCAGCAACTCTGTTAAAAATGAGCACAGTCTTTGAATAGCCCTTTCTCCAAAGAAGATACAAAGTTGGCCAGTAAGCACATGGAAAGATGCTAGACATCATTAATCATTAGGGAAATGCAAATCAGAACTATAGTGTGGGGCCACTTCACATCCATCAGGACCCCTTAACAGATTCTGCGCTTGTCTATTTCCTCTCTCAAACAACTGTCCTTGGGGGTTCTCTGCTCCCACAGCATTCATTTTTTTGATACTAAAACAGGCAAAGTTTCCCCCATTTCACAGCCTTTATTTGTGCTTCTCCCCCTTGTCTAGGACTATGGTCATCAGGATCCCCTGAATTGTGTGTTAAAAGCACAGATTTCTGGGCTTCCCCCTCTCCCCCAGAGGTTCTGATTCAGGAGGTCTGGAGTGGGACTGATATTTGCATGTGTAACAATTTCCACGTGATGATGATGCAGCTGGCCTGGGGACCACCCTTGGAGAACTACTGGTCTAGAGTACTTTCCTTTTTTAAACTAGTATGCATGGTTTAGATCTCTGGTCATGCACGTCTCTTCTCCTAAGGGAGACCCTTTCAGGTTCCTCCAGCCTTGACGGAATTTTTGTTTCACGTTAACATCTCATCTCCTGCTTCTCCTTTTTGAAGCCCTTATTGACATCTTCGAATGTTTAATTGGGCAAATGGTTTTATAATGACTGAAGCCCCTGCCAGAATCTGATAACCCAGCTCCAGGAGGGTAGGGATCATTTCTGTTTTCTCTTGATTCCTTACACATGACAAGTGCTCAGTTTTGTCGAATGAATGAATGTTGTTTCCTCTTCATAGGTACCTGGAAGTATGTAGTCACAATAACACTCTCAGTGAATGTGAAGTGTGAGTAGGGACTCTGGGTGAATTAATAAAGCTACACAGAAAGAATAAGCTTTTTTTTTTTTTTTTTTTTTTTTTTTTTTTTTTTTTTTTGAATGATGTACAATATTTTTGGGAAGAGTCAGGTTTTTTTTTTTTTTTTGAGGGGCCTAGCACACTGTGGAAAGCCCCCCAAATTTCACCTGCCCTGGTGAGGATGTTAGTATAGTTATTTCTCAACTTGCTCTCTTCAGACCATTCATGTCCTATTATATCTTACGGGTGGTTAACTACCTATTAGTTTTTTTAAAATTGAGATATAATTGGCATGTATTAGTTTCATGCGTACAATATAATGATTTGATATTTGCATATATTGCTTAATGATCACCATAGTAAGTCTAGCTAACATCCATCGCCCGTGTTGTTTTTTTTTTTT